CACGTGGAAATCAGTTGAGAATCGCAGAAGAAATCACTGGAAATCGTCGGAAGTCCCTGAAAAATTCTCATAATTTTAAAGTCGAACGCCACGTGTCACCGAATCACCCTGTTATTTATCATGTGAAATCAAAGACAATCACGAAATTACAAAAGTCAACACACGATATGCAGTACCCTAAGAAATTGAGTGTGAAAGTTCAAAATTAAAGAAAATTATTAGATATTATTAATTATTCTCAAGATTCTTTCACAATATGCCCTTACACGTTCGATACCAGCTGTTCCAGACGTAAGTATTTTTATTCTTTATTTGCATTATTTTAATTTCACCCTAGATATCAGCAATTAATCGAGAGAATATCACCCTAACGTTAACGAAAGTGTTTGCCCCAATTGTCTCGATACCACCACAAAAAGATGAATATAAATAGTAATTAGCAATAAAAAATATGATTTATGCAAATTGTGCTAACACCCAAAGATGAATTTAAACAATAATTAACTAGAAAAAAAGCGTTTTACTGTAAGGTGCGAACCCCCGTCTACTACCTTCCAAAAATTCTTCGATGTACTTGTTGCACGATATAAGAATTCTACGTTCGCAACACATTTCAGCCGACACTCCGGTCTGCGTAGCCAACGAGTCAACGTCCCGGACGTGCCGTCGTTGGAATTTCCGGAACAATTTCAACTTCTGAGCGAGATTTTCCAGCGCGATTAAAGCGCCGCGCAGGCACTCATTTCGCCGTCTTTTCCTTCTTCATCCCGGTTTTATCGAACCGCCCCTCGCTCCACTCCCCGCGATTTTATCAATCTAATCGATTCTAATATCTAGGATAATTCTTGGCAGCGCGGACTCGTGACTCGTGCTCCGGGGAGAAAAAAGTAAGAAAAATAAAAAGGGTGAATCCCGTTCGAAATTACACGTGTCGTAGGACGGAGCAGAGTTCTGGTTGGACCGAATCGCCCCGGGCTGTTCGAGTCCAGCCAAGCTTGCGAGACTCCAAGATAAACGCGAACAAGTGACCACGTCGAACTTGAACCGAGCTGATTGCGAGCTGGACCGAGGTCAGGTGAATTTGGCTCAAACCGACCTTGGCGAGAAATGTTTTTAGAAATATCAATTATATTATATACTTCCGAGTGCACGGCTACTAAACAGCACTTTGTAGAACAATATTCGCTAGTAAGCGATCCGATATATTTGATGGAGTATTGAAGCAAATGCCAATGTTACAAGGAACGTATCTGTGAAAATTCAATCAAAACCAATCGAGTAGATTTTGAGATTACCGTGAACGTACAACATATAACGTTACGTCCTAATATATTAGTGTAGGAATATAGATTAGCTAGTATAGATAAGAGGGTAGGTGAAGACCCTCATTGCTAGTAAGGCTCTGCTACAACATTGGTCAACTCGAAGATAGTCTTTACGGATCACAAACCGAAAATCTAGGACATGTCAAGATACTCGTTCCGTCCCCAATGAGTTGAACAATTAAATTGTCGTTTCAGTTAAACCCGACCATGGAACATTAAAGCCTGCAAGGACTGATAAGAGCCTTACGAAGTCAGGCAGAGTTCGTTTGTTTAAATAGAATAATATCCATCTAATAGTTGGCACTTCTCCTAAGAGCTAAAAAAAGCGATAGTAAGAATTGAATAAACGAGCGTTCTTAATCTCGGATTAAAAGCTTAATCCTGGGGTAAGAGTTTAATCTAATCATCTTCCGGGGTTAAGCGGGACCGTCCATGATTAGCTGAGAATTGAAGAAGCATTCTAGATTTCCAGATTTCTTCAGAGACTCACGAATCATGGTTCTTGAACGAATCAAATCGAAAACTTTCTGTTCCCACAAGAAATGCAAATATTAGCAAAATCCAACACGGAAAGGTGTAATTTCGAAATCTTTTGTGCGGTACCAGTATTTCGAAACATGGTCCGATCCGGCCAGTCTTACACGCTTAACTGTCCCTGCCGGCTTAGTATAAGCATTACTTCATCGACAATAACGTTAATTAACGTTGTAAAAAAAAATGCATTTCACTTTTGGTACCGCATAGCCACTTAAGACTCATAATGTTTCGCTCCATGGCGCACGAATACCAGGGAGTAAAACTTATTAATTACCCTCGGCTTAAACATTAATGGTATTAAATCGATGTGACTAACCCAAAGTGGCGTCTCACCGATATACACAAGTACCATAATTTGCAATACACTCGACTTCCCACGTTTGAATCTCTTTCAATACCATGAAACGGGTAAATAAAATAGCGTTATAAAAACATAACCGAGCTTTCGGTGGAACTATTACTTCCAGAGTAAACTTTTCGGTTATCGATAATTCCTGTTGACCCTGCTTAACCTACTTCCCTTATCCTCTGTATGAATAAGCCGAAGCTTTTCTATGCGGCCCTGATCTCATTTCTTTCACTCGTCCCCAGCCGATAATTTAACATTCGGTCATCTTCCACGTCAAACGGCAATGACTTGATTTTCAAATAAATGGTTTGTCCTATAAAGACGTATACCATCATTTTTCAAGGGGCTCAATTAAATTCGTTTGAATCAACGAAATTGTTATTTAAATTTGGAATTTAATACTTCATGATACCATCCGAGGATAAATCCGGCCGTCTTCTCCATCATCTTGAAGTTACTTCAAAAACCACTTTACAAAAGTGCTTTACCTCAGCCTTAATCCCGAAGGAAAACCATCTACTCGTAGAGTTCCAAAGTACACATCCGACAATATGGTTCATCCGATTAAGGCGTTACTCCGTATTATTACTCATCACCCCCAAAGGGGGTTAATTGATACAGTTGAACTTGAATCGAGTACACGGCTCCGGGGCCAAGAACTTGAAAAACTCACAAACCTCTGGTCACAAAAGGGGCTAAACATTAAATGCTCACGGTCTGAAAAACTTAAATGACGCAAGTTTAATTTCGGTTGAAAGAAATCTACCCGCAGAAAATGTTTAGTTGAGTCAATAAAATATTTGTTACTTCAACCGTGGAATATATGGTTATATATGGACAACCGAAGTCTGTTAACATGACAAAATTCATCAGTTAATAACATTTGGTCCATTACATCAAATGTTGCTACAGATCGGACCAAATAATAAAGTAACTTTGTACATTTAACTAAAATGTTTAGTATACTGACTAAAATATTATTCTAAAATTAACAAAACGATTCAACTAAACACATTAGTTGATTAAAGCAAACGAATTTGTTGAAGTGAACTAAAATTCGGTTCACCCTTTTTTTTTAAATGAACCAAATGCAGCCAATTAAACGATATCGTTTAATGAACCAAATTCCTTTTCCGCGTGTATATTTAAACAAAGCCATTTTGGTATAAATTCCGTAGTCAAAAAAATTAACAAATAGTGCTGATTTGAATATCAGAGTTTGTACAAATAATGTATATTCACGGAGTCACCGATAAGTGCACTCGGAGAATATTTCACCTCCAATAATACCAAACCCCTTCAGATAACGTTACCCCATTCCTATTATGACTTAGGCGTGTAATCCAGAACCAATTAACCCACTAGCTCTTTGAACCATGACATGACGTCTTCCAGTTAAGCCGCGCATGGTTTATGTAATTAAACCGACAATTTACATAATTAAACATTTGCGATATAATTTGTACAGATAGAATGACGATTTCATTAAACGTAAGCCGACTGATATAAGCCAGTCTGATCTCTGCACTAGGAAATTACTCCAAAAAGTACTTAAAAGGAAAGTGTTTTCTCTCAGACCTTAACCTATAAAGAGCCAACCACTCCGGCGAGTTTCCAAGTTCATTCCCAATGACCCAACCTGGTAAGTCTTTACTTTGCGATATTAATCCACACCACACAATGGAAGTTAGCTAGAGGTTGTCATTATCGATCGACACCGGAATTAATTAGGCAAAAAGCCTGAATATAACACCTGACCGTTTTGTTACCATTTATCAATGAAATGCACTTAGATCAAACTATTTAATTAGAAAATGGTACAGTGCCGATCGGCATGTATTAAATATACACGATTCCGATGTAACGATTAAATTTCAATTGTACCTTGTAATATCGTCACGATTCATCCCGGCTTTAACGTTACAAAAACTCAATCGCTCGGATGGACACGAAACGGGATTCTTCGACACCTTTGCCGGTAAATCATTAAACGAAATTCAGGACATCGTTATTCCGATATAAACGACAAACAAATGATAAAATCGGGAAACGAGATAAAACGAGTCCAATCGATCGTTCATCCTCCAACTCCCACGTTTCATCTGCATCACGTGCAGATTTCTCGGTTTGCACCGATTATTTGACCCGCAAAATACTTTTTCAAATCTTTTCTAAAGGTTGATTTTGAAGCGTTGACCTACATTTTTCATCCCCGGTTCAAATAACGTCGACACTTAACCTTCGTGCCTTCCTCAATCGCGACATCATTTACTTCCAATAAACAGAAAATGATGGAATGCACGTTTTATGCACGTAAATTAAAGTAGGGTACCATTAGTCACGCGTAGTTTTTCTCTACGTTAAATATACATTGATAAGAAACGTTGATTCGACGTTTACGTTTTCGATGCATTTGTTCGTAATCAAGGGGAAAGAGGGAAGAAACGGGTAAACGTCAAAGTAGAAGAAAACGTTCGTTTCCTAAAATTGCACTTGAAATCCAGCATTCCGAAAGTGTCGGAACGTTCCCTTGTACGGTCCATAAGCCCGGTGCTAAAACATTAAGCATTCACCAGTTGGGCGAAATGCTCGTCAAATCGTCTCATTCAAGCCGACCGATTCGAAGGTTTCGCCCCTCCCTAAGGAGTGATCTCGTTTCTTTGCAAGCAAGGAAACGATAAAATTTCATGGGTTTCCAAATTCCCGTGGGAGACCCGATTCGGACAAAAGCTGAGAAACGAGACGCCTCCGTTGGCGGAGGGCCCGAAAGAAGGGAAAAGCGCACCGACCTGCGGTTGGCGTCCTGCTGCGAGGAGACGGCGCTGGACGCGGGGCTGCACGCGGGGCTGGACGCGGGGCTGGAGCCGGTGAAGTAAGCCGAGTCCACGGAGCACGTGGCGTCGGCGGCGGTCGGGGCCCTCGAGCGGCCCCTGCGCGGACTGGCGGGCGGGCCGGCGCGCAGGGGGGCGGGGGCGCTGGCGGGCCTGAGGCCGACCGAGGTGCCGTTGGTCTGCGCCGCCAGGACGTCGGGCGCGACCAGCGCGATGTCGGGCAGCGAGTCGGGCGCGGAGGTGGCGCGGCCCGCGGCCTCGAAGTCGGGCAGCCGGAGGTGGCGCAGTCGGCGCATCGAGGCGCGCACCCAGGAGTCCGCGGCGGAGGCCGGCCGGGCCCCGCTCGACTGGCCCTCGCGAGGGCCCGAAGACTTTCCCTCGCCGGCGACGGACATCGCGACACTGCCTTTCGAGTCGCGCCCGCCGGCAACGTCGGCGCGCACGCGCGCCGCGCAGGTGCCGCTCCTCGTGGTGGGGCTCGCTGCCACCTCCTCCAGCCACGACCAATCCACCGACGAGCCCGAAGACGAGTAGTCCGACGACTCGTCCGCCAACCTGAGGACACGCACCGATCACCGGGATTAGACATGGAAATTATACAAATCATACAAAACATGGAAATGGAGAGAGTCCGGAGAAGGTTACGCCTCTAACCTTCTTCGGATCGCGAGTTACGGGACATTTACCTCCGGATCCACGAATTTCGGAGCAAACGATCACTTTCCAGACAAAAATTTAATTCTTACGTAGAATAGATCTTTACCGGCTAGGGTCAACGAAATAAGATTGTGCAAAGATAAGGCAAATCGTAAACGGTACTCAATTTTCTTAAGCTGGGCTTCTAACGCGTTTATGCTCAGAAAATGAAACGATAACGAGTCCGTTTGACCGCGTTAGAAACCGAGCTTCATCAATTTTGTTGACGTTTAAAACACCTCGTTAAGAATAATTGATTACCTATGGATACCTTTAATATTTCATGCAGATGTCATTCAAAAATGGTATTCCGGTAAAAAAGCAAGGGATCGGGCCAATGATAGTCTTTGGACGAAACAACTGCTACGAAAAATTGACTAGGAAATTAAAGCTAGGGCTTCCACGTTAGAAATTTCCAATCATAGCCAAGGTATGTCGCGGTTAGGACTTGGTCCGCCTTCAAAGACAATTTTTCCTGGTTAACCCCAATCTAAGACCTAGATAGAATTTAATTTAATATCCAAATGAATTTTTTTTTAGGCTCTTCCCGTTAGCTCCCAGCTAGGTCCTATTTAAAATTTAATTCCGCATCGACGTAATTGCGTCCGATTCTTCCTTTACTGGGCAATTTAGGATATCCTAGCTAGGACTTGCATGGAAAAGTGTAGGCCCTACATTGGTAGGTTGACATCCTAGCTAGGTCCTAGATGGCACTTTCAGAGGTTTCTTACACGGGATTAAACGATGACTTTAACTATCCGTGTCAAATTAAGCCGAACATCTAAAACTTGCGAGCACTGATAATGCCGACGATGCCAGCAGGAAGAGGGAGGAAATGTTTCGCGTACTCGCACGTAATATTTTCTAAAATACTTTCACCGACTTGCGTTCATCGCGTGGAACATTTAACGCCATTTTTAAGCCGTCGATCTTTCATTCCGCGCCACTGGCATTCCTGGTAGACAATCGATTCCGTGAAAAGAAATGACTCCTTCCTGCCGACACTTTTGCTAGCTACGATCCGTTAACTCCACGGTGACTGCACCGGGAAATGCTCCGTGCAGTCACCGACTTCAACAAAATACGTCGGTGTAATGATAGTTCCTTTTTTCGAATTGGAGGATGTAGCGGAAATTTAAAAGCAGTTTTTGTCTTCCTCTTGACGTGTGCCGCGATTCCGCTCCGGAAATGCTCTCGTTGGTGCCCGACTCTGCTACACCGTTAAAAATGTTTGCAACGAAGGGGTATTCACTCAGAAAATCATGAATTTTAACGCTTAACATCATATGAAAATTAGTTGGAAATCGCAAGCAGAAATCACTGAAAATCGTTGGAAATCACCTGTCACAATTTTAAGGCCGCACGTCCCTTGTTACCGAATCGCATTGTCGTTTACGGTATGAAATCAAAGGCAATCGGCTCTCAAAGAGGAAAATCATTTTCACTAATGTCCACGTAAATTGCCCCGCGGTTTGTAAAATTCATTCACTTTTATTGCACAACGTTGGGGTAACGTAATAAATTCGATATCTTAAAAGTGTATTAGTATACATTTATTACACCCTGCTAAATAAATGTATACTTTTATAAAACCGTGTTATGATATTGCAGAGTTGTGTTGGATCATGCGTTATAAATTTATAATATGCTTTTGGAAAATGTGTTATAAAATTGCAATATTTTTTAACGGTGCGCCGGAAGTCCTGGTATTGCTGGTACCACCGGTGGTATTGGACGCTCCACCTCCTGGCGGCAATGAGATGCAAATGTCATAACACCTACGTCCACGTGCCAGAAAGTGTTTCCTCTCTACCGAAGGGGACCTCACCGGTGAAATATCCCCAACGTCCGCCCGCTTTTCCGCTCCTGTGCAGCTGCTGAGCAATGCGGCTTTATTTCCGAATTCATGCATGGACGCGCGTACTACATGCGAATTCACTGGAGTATGTCAAAAGTTAAGAGGATTTCAAAAAATTCGGCACGTGTTACATGTAAGTTATAAGTGTATACCCTTCCCTCAATTTGCTCGGAGTACCCGTTCCACGTGGATTCGTTTTACGCGAATGAAAATCGCGTAAATAAAGTCTGTCAGACAAAAGAAAAAATATTGGAAATAAAAGCTAGTACATATACCTAAGTTTTAGAAACAGGTATTTATTTCAAATAGCTTGACAAAAAACATAATAACGTTTAAAACCGCGAAAAAAAGAGAATCGCGTAGAAAAATTGCCGCGTTACTTGAGGAAGGGTTGTATCATTAAATATAATGTAAAAATGACGCTCTTAAATGAAATAGTGTTTTGTAAACAAACTTGCAAAAGTATGTATGGAAAGCAGAAAAAAATGAGGATTTCGAAAATGATGAACATGTATTACGTCTCGGTTAAAAGTGTTTTATCAAATTTAACATTAAAACGTTACTCCAAAATGATATAGTGTATTATATACGGATTCGCAAAAATATGCATGGAGAGCAGAAAAGTTAGGAGGATTTTTAAAATGTCCAGCACGTAATGCATACAAGTTAAGAAATGTATAATTAAGTGAAATGTAAAAATGTTATTGTGAGATAATATTTTGTCAATATTTGAAACGTTCGTCGGGCTTTTCTACCCCTCTGCAGCTGCCGGACAATTCAGGTTTACTTCCGAGTTCATGCACGAACGCGGGTGCCAGACATGTCTTATATGCACGCTCGAGGACGTATTTATCATAAAAAATTAAGCAGATCGCATACATAAATTGCGCATTGAAATTGTATTAAACGCATACTAATTAACCACGCATATTATTAAACGTCCCGTGAAAAAGTTAATCTCATATATGATACTTTGTATAAAACATCTCCGCCTGCTTTCCCAATGTTAATTTCAAGTGAAAATTTTCAATATTTCGCATTACACTATCTTTCTTTAACGATACTGCAAATAGATTCAACATTTACATGAAATTCGTAAAGAAATAAAAACATATGGTTTTTAAAGGGTTAACACTCAGAAAATACAAAGATATATGTATCCAAAATTATTGTAGATATTGGGTGCCAAATAATTATACATAAATTCACCCTTTACGATAATAAACATCTGAACCTATGGTGCATGAAATAGAACGGACTGTACTAAATTTAAAACGAAATATAGGCTGTAATTGGCGGAGGAAGAAGGCGAGTCATTTTCAGTCCGGACGTGTACACGTTCACGTATGTCCTGTCTAAGCCATCTTTTTCTTCAATTAACTGGTATCGTCACGCACGAACGTACGAGCTAATAAATCAGCCAATCATTATTGGATCAACTCGAAGAGAAATGAAGCGCTGCGAGTGCTGCAATTATTCTACCCGCTATTATCCTTGCAAATTAAAAATATTCCCAACCGAATATAATATTTACTATTGCCTTTCAATTATAGTAATCGACTACATTTAAAGATCTACGTAGGTCACTGCCGCGAACTGTCCCTCGATCACCCGTTTAGAAAGTCAACACCTCGTTCATTAAGTGCGCACTTTATAAGGCGAATGTGTGTATCGCTGTCACGTGCAACTTTAATACGACCCAATTGTTCATTCATGCAAAGCATAAGCCGAATTTAGGTATATAAACAAAAATAAGTAACCTCTTTTATGAATTTTAAGTAAACGGTTAATCTGTACATCTTTCGCGTCATTAAATATTTAAAATTCATAAAAAAGCGGTCCGTTAAATCCAGACGTAATAATTTGATATCTCGCGAAAGACACTTGTTCTTCACGAAAGATCGCCCGAGGAAATGTTGCACATTTATTCGCCTCCCGAGAGTACTAACACTCTCGAGAGTGCCTATCTTTCAATCTGGGCATATCTTTTCTTTCCTATCTTGCATTCCTCGATGCATAGAGATTTCCCAAGGCGGTTAGAGCTTGCAAGATTTATGTATCACGCCTTGGAGATAATCTTCATTCTGGAAATCGAGTTTCAGTATATAGCGAAACCATTCAAATAATTCAATCGACGTATCGATAGGCAAAACAACATCGATGCCGGATATGACCATCAATGCGGAACGAATAAATCAAGAAATGACCAATGGTGATCGATTGCATGAATTTGTAAGTCTAAAAAAATAATCGACTTTAAATAAACGTCTATATCCCTTAAAAAATGTAGTTTACCGTGCCAGAATTGAGAAGTAAGCGTTAGTAAAAGTATATTCAATGAGACATCGATTTACCCACCTTAAGCAAGACATCGAAGAAAAATGATCCGCCATTTAATTTATTTTACACACAACATAGAAATTCGACGGTATCGAGAGATAAGTAACAGCGCTCACGTTTAATTTCTCATCTGCTCCGATTAGTAGCAAGATGATCAATTTACAAATCTAGGCGTGGCACGAATTTAAACACAAATTACAACCACCTAACCAGGTTAATTCCCATTTCATGCAAATTCAACAGAATCGGGTAATAAGCTCTAATGCACGCGCGAAAAATTCCCGATTAGTATATAAGACTTTTACATTACGCTAAAACCTAACTAGAATCTGATCTGGCATCCAAGAGAATTTTTTCTAACCTTTCGCTACCGATACCCAACTAACGCCTACTTTAAATTTAATTATGCATCCAACGAAATCTGATCCTTCCTTTCCTGGGCCAACTTAGAAAATCCTAGCTGGGCCTTACATAGAAAAATATGACGTTCCAACGTCAACTTGAATTCGTCGAAATCCTCTCCGTATAGAACATATAGGTACCGGCTATCCAGTTAGTATATAGACCTGCACTAATCGGTCGTCGTCTTGGCTAAGATCTACCTAAATTCTAGCTAACACCCCTGCGGATGTTCGACATAACCTAATGATCGAATCCTACCGCAACCGTTATTTCAGCGTGAAAATCCACCGGTCGCAAAATTTCGTCCCCGAGGATCCGCTTCCGGAGCAGGTCGGCGATTACTCTCGCGTTTCTTGCACTTCTCGGTCTCGTCTTTCCATTTCCCCGTTAGATGTCCCGCGGTTCTACGGTTCTCCAAGGCGTAACGCGAGTTCTCCGATGCACGACAGAGAGCTGCTACGCTTTTCCGCTAAAATCCCGACCTCGTTTTAAATGCACCTTCCGCCAGGTTCCGGCAATCGCTGCGGTTAAGGCTTAGATAGGATCCTCTTCATCGGCTTCTTCGCGAAAAATATTCGCCGAAGCAACGCGCTCGATGAAATTTATTGCCCTCGAGACCTATCGCCAGAAAAGCCCTTCTTTTATTTCAAACCTTGATTTCCAGCCATCGAGTTGCGTTCATTCTCCAAACCCTAAGTTGAGCTCTTCACCGACGTCGCGGGCCATTACCGGGTTTCTGGCGACAGTTACCTAGGTCGAAGACCACGTAAACTCTCCCTTTTCCTATCTTTCCCGGGGAAAACCAAATAGCTCTTGACTTAGGCGTTCCCTAGACCACGTAAACTCTCCCTTTTCCTATCTTTCCCGGGGAAAACCAAATAGCTCTTGACTTAGGCGTTCCCTAGACCCCAATTGCTTTGTTCGAACATAATCAATCGACGTTCAAAACACGAAGTAGTATAAGGAGATCCAACGTTAGATCAACGAAAATCTAAGATCCTGGTTCCCGATTCCGGGGCCACTTTCCGTGGATACGACCATGGGCATTGTCTCCTTATCCTACTTCATGGTTGAAAATGTAAAGTCTAAGCGTTTACTCGCAAAAAGTTTAGAGGTAATCGGATGCCTTTAGCTCATAAGCTTCGCGTCTGCGCCTTAGCGTTAGTCACCTGTTCGAAAGAGGAATCGGAAGTAAAAAATCGATCGGTGATCGAACCTAACGTCTCCTTTTTAAACTTTCGTGAAAACCCCCCATTAAGAAACGTTTCGAGGTGCGCGACCCCTTCATAGAGCTCTCACAAGGTGTCAGTCAATTAAAAACTGCGATTTGGCATTTCGACCTCGTTTAAATGCACCTTCCGCCAGGTTGCAAGGATCGTCTTCATCCTCGTCCCTCTCGCCGGTCTCGGGGTTTCGCCATCGCCTTTGGAAATGCGTAATGCTCCAGACATCGCGGCGACTCTCACCGTTCATTGTATGTGCCCCAATCATTTTCAACGAATTGAAATCCGCGTTCCTGTGTATACACCTTTTCCCCTCATTTCCGTCTTCCCTGCCGACCGGAGAAACCTTCGCGCTCCTGATTATCCTCGCGGACACGCTCGATGCTGCCGGGAGTTCGATGCTTGCACAATTTATAAGAGGAAAAAGTGGCAGTTTGAGCAATAGAGAAGGTTCGAAGGCGCCGATTTACCGTGTGAATTTATTAGAGATATTTGCTTCACACCGTTTTTACAAATTGACACAAAGAGGTGTCACGAAGGTCACTTACACCCGTTACAGCAACTAATAAATGCATGGAACGGGTGTCGAGTTTCTTTTTATTCAGATATGGTATGCTTTTATAATGCACTTGTGGTTGAAGCTATTTACATCGTTTACTCGCCGAAATATTTAACTCCATTTTTTTTATTTTTGTAAAGTTTAGCGCCAAAGCTTAACTTTTTATGTTTATCACTTTTCTTCACTTTTAACAAAACTATGTAGGAATGAAATAATCAATTTTGATGTATTATGGAGTTAGTATGCAATTATTATAAATTTCTAAGTAAATTCCGAACTTTACAGGTCCTCGTTATAATTTTGTAAAATCGTTAAGAAAGATTAATACACCGATGTACTAAATGTACTATACGTGAAATAAATTTTTAACACGTGTGTTTATAAAACATATAAGTATAATGTTACAAAATTACTACATTTTTTCAGCAGGGTACCCCGGTACTTTCAGCCATCATTTGCCGCATGACGGAATCAAGATCAGGCAAAAGAAAATAGAAAAAAAAAACCACAGTCATAAAAGCTAGACCTAAGACTGCTTATTTAGACAGGCGTGTACGTATCCTTTTCTTTAGCAATTGGCTATGTACAGGCATGTATCATTGTATCGGAGTGCTAATCGTCTTCAATGACGGTAATGATAAATACTCGGGGGAAAAAAAAATGAGTAATAGATCCATCTCTAATTGCTCGCGTAATGCGACGTTGTCCCTGCGGATTGCGACACGGACGCCGCAAGTACAGGTAAGGCGTTGTGCTCTAGAAAGTGAAGCAACAGGACATATAGATCGTGAAATGATTCGAGTTTCTTGCGTGCTTCGGACCTTACAATGCACATTTTGCAAACGGATGTGCGCTCGTAACACCGTGCGACCTTTCGTTTTCGATGGATCCCAAACGAGCCAACTCTTGCTTTCTATTATATCAAATTCGCCTCGCGATTGTGCAAATAGTTCGTTATTCAAAATATTTCGACATTTCGAACACTTTCAAATACGAATGTGTACTAAAATCGAAAGCAGGGGCACTCAAAATGAAAACGGGAGAAATGTACCCTGAATCTCGAAGAACACCGTTTCTACGGAAGAATTCGCACAAAAATTGCTACATCTTTAAAAAAAAAAATAGTAAGATAAGAAAAGGAATCGATATAACGTGCTTATCTTAAATTATATACAGTTGTCTATTTGTAAGTGATCGTAAATCTTCTAACGAGAATTACAAAGACGACGAAATAGAAATTTATTCTTGAAAAAAATTGCCTTCAAAAAATGCAAAAATCTTTTCCAAACAAACTCAATTAAAGGTTAATCGATAATCTGTCCGTTCGACATAATTGCAAACGTCATTGCTATAGGTGCAATTATTCTTGCAGCTTACTTTGCTCTTAAGCAAAACTTTATCGGCAATACTCTCCTTAGCTAAAAGCGTAAATGTCGTTTCCGTGCACGTATTGCACAAATGCGTTGAATTAGTAAAAAAAAAACGTATAAAAAATATATATATAACATCAACGTTACATTGCAGAATCGACGGACATAAAAATGTGCAAAATAATGAATCGTTGTTTATCGAACCTAAAATAGACATAACATCAACGTTGAATTTGACAACGAAAGGGTAGACGTTAAAACGTAGACGATACATTACCCAACCTTTAAACATGTGTTCCATTACTTTGTAGTTACTAAGTATTATTTCTCTCCTTAGCATCTCTAAGAAAACAAAGAAACCAACACTCACCCAATAGACGAGACTTGCCGCCGATGACTCGCCCCGTCCGAGGTCGAGGGTTCGCTACGATAATCCGCGTCAACGCTGATAGACCTGTCGAATCCACCTCCACCGCGTCCTGGTCTCAACTTGACGCCTTTGCTCCAGGACTTCCGGTCCAGCCTCTGCCTGGCCGAAAACGATCTATTGTCCACGGACTCCTTCCTGCCCTCCTCGGTCGAGCGGAGCGAGTGGCACTTGTGAACGTTCGAGTACCCCATATCGATGTGCACTGACCAGGGTCTGATCCTGCCGATCGAGCTCCTTGGAATAGTGGACCTCGAGCCTAGTTCGAGATCGTGAAATTCCGTCTCGACGTGGTCCAAAGGCGAGATTTGCGTTCGTTCGTTCGCGTCGAGGCGATTCGCCACCTCTAGGGTCCTGCTTCGCTCGTGATGGTTTTGAATGAAGCACGTGAGCTCCAGGGGATAAGACGTCCGTCCATCGCCCATCAAGCTGCCCATCGCCGAGGTCTCGTTAAGGCGATTCCTCTCGTCCAGGTCCTCTCGTTCCTCGAGGTCGTCCAGTTCCATCAAGAAGTTGAAGGCATTGTTGATCTCCTGCGCCTCGAAGGTCTCCTCCTCTTCCGACCAGGGTCCGTTCCTGCCGATCGAGCTCCTCGGAATAACGGACCCCTTGTCCAGTTCGAGATCGTGAAATTCCGTCTCGACGTGGTCCAACGGCGAGATTTGCGTCCGTTCATTCGAGTCGAGGCGATTCGCCACCTCCAGGGTCCTGCTTCGCTCGTGATGGTTTCGAATGAAGCACGTGGGCTCCAGGGGATAAGACGTCCGTCCATCGCCCATCAAGCTGCCCGTCGCCGAGGTCGCGTTAAGGCGATTCCTCTCGACCAGGTCGTCGGGTTTCAGGCGGTCCTCTCGTTCCTCAAGGTCGTCCACTTCCATCAAGAAGTTGAAGGCATCGTTGATCTCCTGCGCCTCGACGGTCTCCTCCTCTTCCTCCGGATCCGTCCTCGACCGGCTCAAGGACCCGTCCAGTCCGTCCGCCGAGTCCTGGAAGTCCTCGCCATCCAGGGACGACCTTCTGTGGATTACTGGCTCCAAGTTCCGCGTGATGTCCCGGATCCTCTTTATGGTGTCCGTCGAGACGACGTCGATTCGCTTGCGCACCGGCACCACCCTGTCGTGGCCCAGGGTGACGAGGACGTCACCGTCGTCGTTGATCTCGCGCACCAGCTCTTGCTTCCGGGTCAGGGAAAGCTTCTGCTCCAGTTTCGGGGGACACACGTCCAGCAGGTGTTCCTGCTCCTCGGGACTCGCCTGGGATACGGTTGCCCGTGGGACGCAGGCTCCGCTGCCGAGGTCGATCAGATCTCCGTCGTCGGCGCCGCTGGACGCCATTTTGTAGTTCTCTTTACTGCGACCTCCTGAAACGTGACGGGTTTCCTCGATTAATCATCCGAGAAGGGAAAGCACGGGTTCCTTTTTTATGGGAAGCTTGAACGGGGGTGCGAGTTTCGAAACGAAGTATCCCTATAAAGAATTAAGGTCCGACCATGGTATTAAAAAAATACTGTAATCGTCTACCATTTCTGTTGGACGCTCAGGCTTTCTATACCAATTTCATAACATTTTACTTACATATTTTAGAAACATGCGTTATAAATTTATTAGGTGTCGTCAATTTAGTACGTAAGTGTATACATTTTCCTACACAATTTCACGAAATTATAACATAACGTTATAAAATTATAGTCTATATACACATGTAAAAGAGGTCCCTGACTACCTGATTGACTTCTCATCGTCCAGCCCAAACTGCTGAGTATAGAAACGTGAAATTTCATTCTTATTACCAACTTCTAAAGAAATTCATAATTTTGTAACATATGATAGTTTTGTAAAAATTGCTCAGGAAAATTAATGCACTCGTGTACCAAATTTCATTGGAAAACACATTCTCGAATTTGTATACGATGTCGAAATAAAATTTCCAACGAAAATATTCTAAAATTATAATATTCCCCTTACCAGTTACCTTACGTAGCTGCAAAACGAAAAAATAGGGTCGACTATCACGCGAGAAAGAGTATCAAGTCGGTTATTAATTCACATTGATTCTAGATATCTGTCAGCGGTAATTAAAATTTCTTTTTCCGCGAGTACAGATAACATTTCGATAATTTATCTTCGAACCTGACCCACATCTCCGCGACCTCTCGCAGTCTCTGCGTTTGCCTGCACCAAAGTCTCAGCCCGTGGGCATAAATGTTATAAAAAGGCGCATTAAGAGCCGTTGGCCGTGCACCTGACCACCAAACCGTTTCATAGAGGCTAGTCACGCCGGTATTTAATAATCATTTCCTACGATCGACCGCAAGGCAAAATCAAAAGACCACCACGACCGAAAGGTCGCCACATCCGCAGCTCGGCGAATCGACGCTCGAAAATAATCCCCCATTTCGCCTGACTTGCCTACCCTATTCACGGAACGCAATTCCACGTTCCCTTTGCCCACCGGACGCGGATAAAGCCATCAAAGCGCCAATGCGGAAGACAATGTGGCCGAGTCAATGTGTGCGAGTCAGAGTACTCGGTACATCTCACGTTTTAATCTTTTCCAGAAACAAAAAGTATCCCCGGGTCTCTTTTTACACGGTAGGCGCGATATTATTTACCTACCTAATTATAATCAAAATAAATATAATGGAGTAAAAATATAAATTAACGGTAATAACAAGCAATGGCCCTGCAACCCTGTAAAATGTGTAAAACGTGTGAAAAACGTGAAAATGTGTAAACCGTGTTAAAGCAAACCCCTGAGACCGTGAATCGCGTAAAGATTGAGTACCGCGTAAAAGGAGATCCAGGAGGAGATACTTGAACCTCCGCGACAATATCCCACCTGTTGCTATATCGACGCAGCGTTAGCGTCGCATCGAGTCACTCGTTGTATCTATTTTCGCGGCAAATTGTGCTAAAACGCCGTGGCTCTTAGAACCGCTCCACAAAGGCGTCCCCCGAGAGCGACAACACGAGGAGACGCGACTCATTGCGCAACAAAGTGTGCGCAATTAACTCGCATCCACCCGCGAATTGTCTCGTGCGAATCGATGCTTACCGATGCGCTGAAGGAGATTTGCGACATCGCGGAGGATCGGCATGGCCACCTAAATATCCTCCGCGTCGAGTCGAATCGTCGATGCGTGATTCACGAGACAAGGTACAAGAAGAGACAATTCGGAGCGCCCGCGATGGCGCATCTGTCGCGACGAAGAACGCGCGAGTACTGATCGGCGCGGATGTAAAGTGCACCGAGAAGTTGACACTCCTCCGCTACTGCGTCAGGATGTTTAGAACCGATTATCGCCTCGTCGATAACCGAACGACCTACACCCTGCGTCTGCCGAGATCTTGCACGCCGCCGCGACGCCACGTGACCGAAGCAATCAATTAGCGTTGCCTGGCACGCTTAACCCTTTAAGCGCTAAGCTCATTTGGCATATGGGCGAATTTCGTCAGGGCGGGCAAGCGATATCGGACCGAACGTTGGATGCACTTATGCGTCAAGCTCTCAGAGGCTTAAGGGGACGTGAAAGTGGCATCCGAGGGGTCGGTGAAACTTTAATCCAATGCCATGTATCGAATAGATTTTTTAACGACATAATAAGAATAGATTGGAACCACTCAACTATTGGAACGCGCACGACAGTGTATTCGGAAGTTTTAGAAATCGCGACGAGAGAGTCCCACGGAGTATTTGTGTCCCTTTTGTTTCAGTTACCGGGTGCGAGGAAAAGGATACAAATACCCCCGTAACCCTGTCTCTCGTTCCTGAGATCAACGGCTCGTAAGCGTTCCGGTATGAATATAGTTCAGTGATCGGGACCTACTCCGATAAGTGGAAACGTCGTTATTGACATGCTTACGTTAACGACGTAGATAAGTCGGTGTTTTGTTCGTTTAAGGCGGTATAACGTTAAAAATGATTTCAGACTAAACATCTTCGGTGCTCCGTGATTTGCAGAGGATGCTATTTCTCGTATATCAGATGCCGATAAAACGAGGACATCGTACTTATTTCCAATGGCGGTGGTGGCTCGTATGCAATATCAGTGTTCCGGGAATTCGCGAAAATTTGTAAAGGTTCAAAACCTTATTCTTTGCCACGACGTAACAAATGTCCAGGAACAAATGGAACAACGTAATAATTATCGCGGATATAAACAATTCATATTAAATAGGTTATCAAAATTAAAACAAAACACCCTTTAGCTCGGAGGATTATAGTTATGTACGAGTTCCTTATCAAGGCAACATGGTTCATTCTTGCCCAGACCGTTTATGGAAATAAATCGGTTAAGGACATGTGAATATACGAGACGGCTATTATCTCTTCAATATGTATCCTAGATTTACCACAATCTCTCATGTTCTTACTGTACAATATAAATGACAAGGTATTTTTGCTTTCAAATCCCAACGATTTAAATACTTTAAGAAAACGTGAAAATTCGCCCATGTACGCGATATTTTGAGTCATCCCATAACTAATGCTGGTTTTTTTTATTTTAACCAATATGAAAAAATCTCATTACTTATGAGGTGAATTAATATACGTAGACTAAGACCCTCTTTCGTGAAAATAAAAACTCGTATAGTTGCAACTTTTACGGAGTTCAAGTGGAACAAAATATTTGAAATTGTTGGGAATGGTTTTCCAGGTATGCAATGATACGTTTGTTGTTTCAGGAACTGTGGCGCCATCCCGCAACCAGGGAGCCAACTAACCGCAGCTCCCAGAGTTCCGAGCCTTAAACTACCCCATTAAACTTCTCTATATTCATCGGACTTCGTGACCGCAACCGATCGTATTTGTTGGTTAGTGGTGTGAGAAAGAGCAGGGCATAGAAGTTTACTACGATATCGACGCCGTACAGTGGCGCCGTATCGACGCGCCATTTGGAACTACCTTTCAACTGCACCGATCACTCGCGGCGAAGAAGAACGGGGTGAAGTGTATTTCTCGATCAAAGGAACTCGGCAATTTCGTGAACACTGCCGTCGTATTTTCCTTTCAAATAAATTTAATAAACCAACTTCTAAAATAGTTAAAATGTCTACCTGCTGACCATTCGCACTAAAATTTTCGGTGAAAATAATCAGGAAATCCCAGTTTCTGATCCAACCGACAGTTAAAAAAAAACTCATTGAACGTGAATGTACGCCGTTAAAAAGATATTGTAATTTTATAACATTTTATTTCCTATAAATATTCTGTGAACTCGCGTTACAAATTTAGTACACAAATGTACTCACTATTCGATGCGATTTCACAAAATTACAATGCGATATAAGATGACACATTTATTTAGGAATTTAAATATGTACGAAGTCACGTTTAAGACGCCAGATTTATTATTTTGCTATAACCTGATGCACCGAAAGCGTATAAATTTGTTTAGCACGATACGCTGGATGTACACGTCGCCCCCCTGTTCGAAGCGCAGAAGAATGTGAAAGGAGAACGGAATGCAGAGAAGTAAACTCTCAAAGCAGTCCGCGAGTTCGCACCTGTGGTACATTTCGGTAAGAAGTACGGTAAACGAGAAGAGAGAACATTAAGAGGGTTTTCAAACGTCGGAAAATCTCGCAAGACCGAACACAAAGTGGACGCTTTTGGTGATACTTTGAGAGCATTTACATCTTTGTGGGATGAAGCTCGACTAACAATAAGTCCGCGTTTCTCACGGTCGTGTCCCTTCCGTGCATTCCGTTTCTCCCTGCTTACTCGTTTCGAGTTCGTTTCTAGAAGGCTCTTACGGAGGGAAACGAGCAGAGAAGTGCACTTCGGTAGCCCACATGAGAGTGCTCCCATAAATCTTCCCTAGGAAAACGATTCGTTAGAGGGTCGTTCTAGAGGCGGCAGAAAAGATTTACAAAAGTAAATTCCACGGTATTCTTATCTTGCGTATTGGTAAAGTGCATTTCAAATCTTTTCACGAATCAACTCCAGCCAATGTACTTTTTCATTCTTCATGGACTTTCGCCTCCGGATAAATACGTACATACGTATAACACGGTATGTAAAAGCTAAGAGCCGGTTACGCCAACTGTAATTAACATGAAACTTCTAAACTACGATTAGTTAAACTCGGATTAGTGAAATTCGTATCGCACCGACCTAAATTAGGGTAGCCGAAAATTAAACTCCGCTGTCAAATAACCACCCAAAATCAGATGATTAACTTTAATCACGCGTTAAGTAATCCTTTTCTGTCTTACTTAACCCTTCTAGTGCCGACCGAAATCGTTGGCACTTGTCCCAAGACAATATATCTTTGTTTAGCGCTAAAGGGGTTAATGATTAGCCAACGCGTGATTGGAGTTGATTGACCTATTTTAGGTCATTATCTAACAGTGGATT